ATGTGTGTACGGACAGAAAGAAAGACATTTTTGTTTGATAAGTCACGCCCTCCCTCGTGCTGTCCCTCTAATCGTTAACCACTAACTGTTGCTCCAATAATGCTTCAGATTTTACTCACATTGAGTGGGCTTCCATATCTGCCGTCGGGCACTTCGGTGAGGTCCACTTCAAAGTGCAACTTTTCACTCACGCGCTTGAGGAGGTCGATGCACAAGCCCGTGCAGCACATATCTGTCGTCACGTTGTCCAGTCTGAAAGGCACAAGAATAAAAAGACAGTTAAGTATTGGCTTAGCTCTGGACGCTGGGTCGTTTAGAGACAAAGCGCTAAAGTCCTTATTGTACCTATTTTTACTACATCTTTTTTACCCTGCCCAATTCTATCATCTGTCCCTTTTTTGTTTAGTAATAACAACAACGTATTATGCAGCATGAGAATGAATAAATAGATAAATAAATATCATGTTACTTCACTCTTACAACGTGTATCGCTTAGTTACACGTCTAAACGTTGCCATAGCCCTAACTGTAAACGGTTACAACAACTTGTAAGTAGTTAATGAATGTTTAGATCTTGTTAGTACTATATTCCTCAGCTTTTTCGAGTCGCGAGGTGGGCACCCTCTGTCCCACTCCCTGGTGGAGTCGTCTTTACAGTGTCGCTGAATGTTCCGATAGTTTACTCGAAGTCTCATACTATGGAGGTGACATTCCTCATTTTACTACATTGTTTTGCTAACTGACCACCCAAACAGCAACAGTGGCATCAGTAGCCTAGTGGTTTGGCTACCGGACTCGTAATCGTGAGATTGCGGATTCGGGAGTTCGAGCCTCAGTTTGGTCCAATGTTGTGTCCTTGAGAAAGGAACTTTACACGAAAATTAAATTCCCATTTCGCTCGGTCCTCTCGGAGACGGACGTTAAACTCGGAGGTCCCGCCTTTTAAATAACCTAAAAGTGTTGATAGAGCAGTAAAACCATACCCTTTTTCCCTGCCAAAGAGCAGCACACCTGCCCCACACCCGACAACTACTGTATCTCACGTCGACACAGGGAAAGTGAAGGAAACGTAGGTAAGTTTTGTTAGAACGAATACTGTGTTGCGCAAATACGCCGCTGTTTGGAGTCTGTCATGAGGGGCCCGCCTCGTTGGCATCTATATTTTGATATTTGGTCGCTTTTAAGGACAAGCGGTCTAACCCAGATTTTGAGGATTTCCAGAAATCTTGACCTACACCAAAAGTGGGCATTGCCCTACCTATAGGAGAAGTTTAGTTTCATTGGTTTGTATATTTGTTTGGTTATAGAGAAAACTCTCCTTGTCTTTTAAAGAGACGGAATAAGGTCCAAAAACTTTAACTTCGATTTTCTCAAAAAAGCTTTTATTGGGATAGCCACTTTGTGCTTAAAAGCGACCATTTTTTCTTCGATCTACTACGTGGGAACTAACAAAAATAGATATTGCCAGAATCAATTCCTGATATCATAATAATATACTAAAGGAGGAAACACCAAACGCGGTGAACCTAACCTCTTTGTGTGAACCTGAAATCTTGCAAACCTAAAGATAGTGAAAAAACATTCCGACGACACTAAAACTTTAACCACAACCGTAAACGAGACAATGAACGAGAAAAAATGGATCAAAATTAAATGAACCGTAATTTCTATCTTAACTCTTTGGCCTAAATATAAATCACTTCCGGGGAATAGGCATATTTCATAGAACGCATGTTTTTGCTAACCCCATTAGAGTTCAGACATAAAAAAAACTAAATTGAAAAATCTGCATAACTAACGAGGCAGCAATGTCTCTATTTTTAAAGTACTCCAAAATAGCTCGTCTTCAGTGAGTTAAGAGGATATAACACCAAATGTAACCCCTATCTTCGAAAAGGCCTCGCAAAAATGGTAGAAAGCATCGGAAACTGCCCGAGATATCAAGCGTACTACACATCTTGGAGAGGAACAAAATGTTTCCCCATTGTATTCCAGAATTGTGACCTATGTTTCCCCATTGTATTCCAGAATTGTGCAAACTGAGGAAACGGCCTCGCTACGCTGCTTGATTGACGATTTCTGTTTTTTCTGTAAGCAAGGAACAGAATAATCTAAAAGGTAATTTCCAGCTTAATGTACTTGTAAAGTATTCATTGGAACAAAAGCAAGCGACGGACATAAAGATTCTTGTGCATCATTGAAACATCTAAAAACGAAGAGGCAATCCAGGCCAGAAGTTTCTTGGCGGTGTGTTTCTTGACACTCTCAGAGGTAAATTGACACGAAAATGGTGATGGAACCCCCGAAAAATGTATGGTTTTGTAAAATAACTTTTCTAGTATTTCTGCAAGTGTTCGTGTACGTGCACATGCGTACGTGCGTGCGTGTGCGTGTGTGTGTATGTGTGTATGTATGTGTGTGTATGCGCGTGTGTGTGTATGTGTGTGTATGTATGTGTGAGTGTGTGTGTATGTGTGTGTGCGTGTGTGTGTGTGTGTGT